ATGAAGGAAATAAGACCTTTCATGACAACCTGGTTAACTTTGAGAAGCTGGTGAGTGAAGTCTTAATTTTTTGCAGATTAAAACATTTAAATCAAACATTACAACAGATTATTTATTGAAAATCCTTGAGATTGTTTTTCTGTAGAAAAAAAAATTCAACTAAATCCTCCTTTGATATGAATGAATTGTAGGTGACAGAATATGTAGGGTTTACCTTAAAAGATCTTCTATTTTTTCACTGCTAATAATGAAGCTTTAGTGTTTGAACACATCCTCTCTCATTTCAACAGCATATGATAGCAGACACAGTGAGGATGATTCGCCACTGCCAAAGTGACCAGCCAGGTGTGTATCAGCATTTATGGATATTTGTTTTAATGGCAAAAAATGGCAAAAAGAAAAAAAATAAAATAATAATAAAAAAAAAAAATAAAATATATATATATATATATATATATATATATATATATATATATATATATATATATATATATATATATATATATATATAAATAAACAGAGTTAATTAGGATTTTAGATTCAAATTGAATTGTGCAGAGAGAAAATTGTCAGAACATTTTGGTTTCTTATCTGCCAAATCTGGAGAACCAACAAAAAGAAAAGATGTGAAACAGATATTTGTGCTCAGATGTTTTTGGGTAGAGGAAGAGCCAAGTCAGTGTCTGGTATGTGGATCTACGTCCAACAAGGAAAGAAAACAAACACTTCTTAAGAAGCAGGTTCCAACCAAGCATGCGGCACTGCTTAGATATTTTTATTTTTTTTAATCTGAAAGTGCAATGGATCAAAGTCATAATGTTTGTTTGTTTTCCCGCAATGACGGCTACTTCAAGAACTAAATGTTGTCCTTTGGCACATACGCATGAAATGCTTCCTTGAGCACTCAAAATAACTTCTTTTTTATGTTGCACACTTGCATGTAAAGTCAACAGGAAGTGGTGGCGTAACAGTGTAATTTAATAGATTATGTTAAACATGAATACATCTCTGAACAGACCAGTTAAGCATACAATATAAAACAATTTTTTTAAAATACAGTTTGTGAATCTTTAAACTCATTTATAAGAAAACAAAGAATGGGAATCATGTGCATCTTTATACTAATTATTTAGGATAATGTCTGTTTTATAAAAGGTAAAGTCAATTTGTGAAATGCACCGTCTAAATTTGTAACGTTTTTGATGTTTGCGACTAATTATTGGAGGGGTTCTGCTGCCACCTGCAGTTCAGTTAGAGCATTGCATCTGCACTGGGTCAGCCGATTTGGTTTTCTCTTACAGTTACCAAGCAACAGTTTCTACACGGGCTTTTTGTTTTCGATTTATTTATTTTTATACATGTCCGTTGAGCTTCACAGCGGGAAGGCTTCCAGGAAAGACTCGTGTTTGACTTCAGCACATGTTCTCCGTCTGTCTCCTAGGCAATGAGGTTATCGGAGTGGACAGCGCGGAGGTGAGGGCGAGCGTTCACTACCTGCACATCATCGACAATCAACAGACGCTCTTTGAACTGTCGCATAAGCTGGAGCCGCGCGCTTAAGCGTAAACCTGTGTGACAATGGGGACGCTTTGTACAGCAAACTGCCGCACGTACACTGCAGCAAGATCACACAACCAGCAGTGCTGTGAGATGAACAGCAGTCTGTCGTCCAACACGGTCCACTCTCAAAAGGCTTTCATACACTCAACTTGTGCTTTTGAAGGGTTTCTAACCACCACTCTCTCCCTGGGAACCTTCTGCAGAAACCGAATCCGTGCAGGAAGACGGAGAAACGGAGCGAAGCGACGAGGAGGCTGTGATTAGTTTGTACAGTACCTGCTAGGCTGATTAGGCCTTTGTTTTGTTTTGTTCTCGTCATCAGTTGGTTATTTTCCTGTTCCTTTATTTTTGTGAATCTCGCTGCTCCCATTGACCATCAACAAAGACTTGATAACCGTGTCTCCATTTCAAACCCAAAAGCATTTAGATTTTCTTTTTTTTTTTTTTTAACAAAAAAAGAAAAAAAAAAAAACTAAATGTGCATCATAGACTGTCCAATATGATTTCTATTGCATAACTCTCACTTATTTTCACAGACTTGCTATTAGGTTGTGCAACCTTTTTTAGTTATTGTGCAGGAATAACTAAAGCCAACTGGTTCTGGGTTTGAAAGCCTGAAACAAACCCTCGTACTCTCACCTCTATGATGTTTTATTGTGAATAGAAACGATTAGTTAGCTTTGTACATACCGTGGAGCTGGCGGTTTTCAGTGCCAAGTGTTTCTGTTGAGCGCTGCAGCTCGGCCGCGCTGCAGCTCTCCTGTCCTGTTTGCCCCGTTAACAAGCATGACGTCCGCTCCTTGGATCATGTGAAGCCAACCTGACTCCTTGCAGAGATGCTTTTTGTCGAGATGTGCTATTGAGCCTGGTCTCTAAGGAAACGGTCCCAGCGGAGATCAATGTTTTGCTCTTTTTCTTTTTCTTCTTTTTTTTATATATACATATATATCTTTAAGGTTTATTGTGTCGATGTCTTTTATTCGAAGTGCAGCACAACAGAACAGCTTTGTACCACTGATTCACTTTCATAGGAAGAAGACGGATTATTAATGCCTACTGACTGAAAATAATGTTTCATTTCGAAACAATCTCATTTATACTGTGAGAACTAATTCAGGACACTGAACAGATTAATGGAACCAAAGGAAATGGCTTTGAGATTTTTTTTTTTTTCAAGTCACTGTGGGGGAAAGCCTGACTAGATAATAACATTTTCTATTTTATGCCCACACACAAATGCAGCTCGAAAGCAGAAAGCTATTGTCTGATATACTGATGCTTACAAATCAACAAATCCTTCTTGTTGCTCATTGGTTGTTTTATTACATTTCTGTAAATGCCTTTTGTTTGTTTGTTTTTCCTCCCTTCTTGTCACTTCCTTGCAACAGTGCAGCTGTGATATTCTAAATGTTAACTCAGACAAGCATTTGCTGCCTTTTTTGGACTTTTATAAGGTTTAAATTAGGGATAAAGTGCAATACTGTGAAGATTCTCTTACAAGTGTTCATTTGGATTTCAAAGAAAGAGCTTCTTTTTTTTTTTCTTTTTTCATGGTTGTTACATCAGTAGGAGACATTTCCCCAAACTGTGCCAAATGTTTTTTCTAGGTTCATGGTGTGAAGAAATATTTCAAAATGAAAAGTTATCAGTCTGACTGTCACCATTACGATTTGGATCCATTTGGAAGCATTGTTGAGAGCTTTAAACGCTTTATCTTAACAGGATTAGAACCGATAAAAGTGAAAGATGATGTTCAAGCGCTTATCGTTTAAGAAGTTTTACTTTTGGAAACTGAAACTGTGCCGGTAAATCTGCTGGTTTGTATTTGTTCTTCGAGAAGTCGGTCGGGATAACGGCGAAAAAATGTCACAGTCTTAAATTCAGCGTAGTTATGCCTGAAACCTGTTAAACAGCATACCAGCAACCTCTTGGTGTACTGAGATAAATCAATTTGAGATGTCAACTTTTTTATACGATAATCGCGATTAAATCTTCTTTAACAATATTACAAGCTTTGTTGTAAAGATGCACCTGATGACGCTCTCACAGCGAATAGTTGCTAAGGCTTATGCATCAGAGCACACATCTGTTTGAGTTCAAAGTGACATTCAAATGTTTTCTTTTTGGTTAGCATAGAGCCGTGCATGATGTACATACAGACACCCTTTGCTGATCATGTGTAAAGAAGTTAAGTTGGTTATTTATTAAAAACCTGTGTTTATTTATAGTGACTAAATGTCTTTGGTTTTTGTGCCATCCACAGTTTTTTTGAGGAGAGCAGGTGTGAGATTAATTAAAGCTGCAAAGCATCCGGGGGTCAAATACGTTTTGTGCTGTAATGTAGCCACTAGAGGGCAGCAGAAGTGCAATAAGTCTGTCAAACGTTGAACGGACAACAGGAGGCTGTATTCAGTGTTTTATTAGCCGCTGTTATAGAAGTGTACAGTTCTGTTTTTTTAAAGCTGTTGTTCAAAACCTGTTTGCATGATAAAAAAAAAAATACACAAAATTCACAATGTAAGAGTTTAAGGAAAAGGCTTTGTACAATTGTAATATTGTTTATGTGTAAATATGCCTATGTTTGGTATGTTATTTATCAGTTGTAAAATGGAAAAGAAGTGAATCACAAAGCAACTCGTCTCCTTGTCTTCTTCAAACCTCAGGCAACTGAAGTCTTTTATTTCTCTAAAATGCAGCTTCATCATTCAAAATTCAATTGAAAATTACAGTCTAGGATATGAGACGTCCACAGGTGCTCTTTTTGACTCAATTGACATTTTTTCCCCATGATTTAAGTCTGGGTGATGTTTCCGAAGAGCCATAAATGAGCCAATTATAAGATAATGAAATTAAACCTCTGTTAAAGCATTTTTTGTCACAAATTCCCTCTCTGGATGTAAACAGTGGCATGTAGTTTTGTGTTAATGAGTTAAAGCTTCTTACTCATAAATATTTCAAGAAGTGTTTTCGTGGTGTCAAATTTTGAAACAATTTCTTCCAAAGACATCAACATCCCCTCATTAAAAAGAGCTTATTACATGACACTAGTGTTGACTTATCTCGTCATGTCAGGATCAAACATGAAATGGATTATTTTCAACCCAAAATTGAAATGAAACTATTTTCAGTCCATGCTTTTCATGTCTTTTCATAAAAGATGTATAAAGACAAATCGTAGATGCTTTTCAAGATCATATTAGATATGGCTCCATTTTATTTCTGAACGTTTGCATCTTTTCAGTGGAACAAGAATAGATTTACCTTGTAAACCATTAACATTTACAGGAATAGAACAAGGAAATAAAAATAGAGCAATAACCGTCTGGGACACTTTATTTTTTTTATTTATTAATTTATCTATTTATTTATTTTCCCAAATTTTCAAATAATTTGTGTTTCTTTTACCATAATTTATTTTGTACTTATTTATTTAGTTATTTCTTCAAAATACCAGACTTGCAACTTAACTTTGTTCTTGTCTCTCTGATGACATACTTTCTAAATATTAAACCAAATATTCTGGTCAGTTAATAAGTACTTCTTATAAGTACTTCCTTTTATTCTTGCGTTTTTATGACATAAACACTTTGAACTTGTTGTTGCTTGAATGTGCTATATGAAAAAACTTAACTTCATTGATTATCATTCTGTGTTAAGGAAACGGATAAAGAGTTCCAATAAGGGACAGCGTTTATGGGAAATCAAAGCAAACACTAAAGTAGCTCATTAACAGGAACACGATAGATGCCCTTTTCTGACGAATATAAAAGAGAACAGGTGAACTCCTGTCTCTCCAGAACTCTCTTCAGCATCCATCCCTCCAGCAAAACTCCAGCAAAACTCTGAAATCTCTCAGAATCAAGAACATCAGACTCCAAGATGATTTTTCTGTTCCTCTTGTTTGGTCTCTCTGTGGCTGCTGTGGTTCCTTCAGACAGACAGGAGATGAAACTACAGCGGGGCGGCTGTCCCCCGTTCTGGTTCGGCTTCAATGGACGCTGCTACAAGTACATCGCCACTTTGATGACCTGGGCTGATGCAGAGCAGCACTGTGTGAACCAAGGAGCCAACCTGGTGTCCATCCACAGTCTGGCAGAAGATAACTTTGTCAAAATGCTGATCAGAAACTTTGATCACGCCGAGGGAGCCAACTGGATCGGACTGTCTGACGCTCAGAAGGATGGAACATACTTCTGGTCTGACGGATCTCGATTCAACTTCAAGCTGTGGAATGCAGGAGAACCAAACAACTCAGGAGGATCTGAACCGTGTGTGCTCACCAACTGGGGCTCAGCCAAGAGATGGAACGATAAAGTGTGCACAGACAAATTCTCCTCTGTTTGTAAAGCTCGCCTAGATTTGCAATAGCTGCTGACAATGTTATTCTAAATCTGTTCAGTTGTTTTAAATTTGTTGATCATAAAAGGTGCAAATGTTTTGTATAATTTCTTTATAATTGGACCTTGCTTTATCACTCCTTATCAATACTTCTTTGTATCCTAATATTATTATCCTTTAGGTGTGTTGGTCTATTTAAATGTATGAGATGAAAGAAATTTGCATCTTTGTACACAATTTTATTTTGATGAAGTATAAAAAATATTTTTACTTTGTGACACCATGAAAAACTAAGTTTTGAAGGAATCTGATAATGTTTTTAAAATTATAAGTCTTTGTTTTCAATGGTTTCATTATCTCCATCTATGTATGAAGTGAGGAATATTAAAACCATAACAGAGATGAGATGACATGTTTCACAGGTTTAATTAGGAGGGAGAATAACATCTTAAATCATTCGAGTTTTAATCAATCAAACTATATTCCTGTAATAAAAATAATTAGAAGTACGTTTTAGGTTAGATAAGGTATTTTATACTAAAACAAATATAAATTGTACATCTGTAATTAGCACACTGAGTATGATACCAAAATTATTTTTGGTACTAAAATAATTTAACCTGAAGAATGGTGGGTTGGCCACTGGGGGTTTGGGAGAGATGCAGAATTAAAAATATTTTAAAAATATATAAATATATATATATT